AATTTTAGGAGGCTTTTATGTTTTTACTTTTTTCATCATTTGACAAATTCCACCTCACTTAACATAAACACAAAAACAAGATCAAGTCCCAATAACCCCCTTATTTAACTCATTAGTTATGATACCTAATGGTGTAATTATGTTTCAGTTTAGCCCTAGCCTTCTGATCCCTTAAGTGTTCCCTAAGAAAACACACTTTGCTTCTGAGATCTACCAGGTTCGTACATCACATCCCATAGTGATTTAATGATCTTGCAAATAATAGGAGGACAAAAGTTCAATATATATAATCTTGGAATTCAAATAACTAAAATAATAGTTTCACCAATGGCTCATATGATCCATGATATAGATTACTCAATTAATTCATCTACATTGTCCATATATTCCAATTGAGTGGAGAAGAGTAGTTGGGATGATATCGAAATCCTAAACATAGATCCTAACTCTTCCATCATCTTCTTTCTATCTTAAGCTTGCAAGTTGATTTCATGGAGATTCCGGCTCTCTTTAAACACTTAGAGTTGGCAAAGATATATCTCACCGCTTCTTTCTCTTCGCTTCTTCCACTATATTCTTTCCACTCAAAGATCTCGAGATGGGATAACAAACATTCAGGAACAGAACTCGGTTGGTTCCATGAAAATGGGAAATCTTCCTCAAGTTCCATGAATGTCTGCCAACAAACAACCAAATGATATTGTTAACACATTAAGATTTTTATTTTAACTAATCCATCAAACTTGGAAAATACATAGATGAGGGTACAAACCTGGTCCATAAAGAGAATTTTTAGATTAGGAGAATTTTGAAGCAAAATCATTACTATTTTCAACCAGTCTAACTCATGTACATAAGCTATTTTACACTCTATAAGCTTAGAGAAATTAATAGCGTTACACCACACAACCTGCGATGAACACAACAACACATAAGTATGAAACGCTATAAGTATGATCATTACAATAAGAAGAAGAAAAAAACAAGAAAGAGTGAGAGTGCAAGAGCATTACATACCGCTGAAGCGGTCAAACCTAGTTCGACATACGTGAGTGAGGAAAGAGATCCCATAAACTTATTATCAACATAAGAATAAACGTAGATCAATGCCTTATCAAAGCGAGGCTTGTTCTCAATCGAGCAAGAATTTCCTGAAAAATCTGTGATGAAGATTTTCTTCAAAACCGGTGAATCTATAACCAAAGACCCTCCAATACCACCTTGGTTATATTCCCCTAGTTCCGTATAGTCATAAATCAAACACTCCAAAGATGGCAATTTTATATACAAATTTGTCACGTTGTCTTGGAAATGTCGTCCCAAGCACAAATTCTTTAGAATAGGACAACTTGATAAAAGCCTAATGAGAGACTCTTCATCTTTATACACCACAAAGTGAAGGCCAAGAGTTTATAAGGATGGGAGACAAGCCGAAAAAGGAACATCCACGAAAATCTTGCTAGAAAGACACAATGAGACAAGCGTATTGCTCGCTCTTAGGCAAGCTAGTAGGCTCCGCGGTCCACGTGAGCACAAACGCTAGCTTGCGCACCTTACAAACATCAACCGCATTTGCAATCCACTTTCCCACATCAGCATCAACAGGACATCGTGGACCGAGCTCTATACCCAAAATTTCGAATACAGGTGCTATGTTGAGGTTTAATGACTCGTCAAGAAACCGCCAAATAGATTGTTGTTTACCATGACCACTAACTATTTCTTGGTCATTATCGATCTCTTTGTACTCTAGTATTGGTACCATCGTCCAAACAAACCGCCATCGTTTCGACAAAACCATCGTAGCCACTGCTTCTTTTGTTGAGACAAGAGACAATATCCGCACAAGCAAGTTCTCTGGTAACATGCTGATCTTGTCTTCACCTTCAACTCCTAGACAGATTTTGAGTTTTTTCTTCACAAATCGTCGGGATTTTGAGGTCAAGATAAACAAAAACCGTCTCAACATCTTTGATTCCTTGAAACTACTACATACCAATGAACGCTCTAAGGTTTTTAATTAAGGGTTTTAGTATACACGCAATGTTCTAATCACTTTCCATATTACTTGAGAACAGTGTTCTAAAAAGCATTCTAGGCGTTCGTCTAGGCGGCGCTAGGCGCTATGCCCATATAGACCGTGGCAATTACCGCTTTTGCCACCTAAAATATTATGGTATTATTATAATAAAATACTATAATTTTTTATATATATAAATCGTAAAATTTTATATATTTAGCTATTAAATGATGAATATAAATACAATATAAATTTTATTAGTTATAAATTATAGTTTTTTATATATTTTATTATATATATATATAATATATTATGTATTTTTATAAAACGCTTAAATCGCCTAGGTTCCGATTAGACGTTCTAGGTACTAAGTATTAGATCACCGCTTGCTTAGCGCCTAGCGCTTTTTTTAACATTGTTTGAGAAGCATTTGGGTATCTAACTCTTAATTTGTAAATACAACTATTTTCTCGACATATTTATTACCAACTTTATATATTTTTAACGTTAATAATATAGAAAGTAAATCCAAAATGTATCAAGGCCCATAAGAGATCCACTGAAATAAATATAATTTCTTCTTGAAAATAAAAAAAGATATATAATTTGATCGGTCATTGATTTATGGGGCAATTACAAAAATGCCACTTTTTGTGTGCACATTTACAAAAATGTCATTTAAGGGTGTCCATTTACAAAAATGCCATT